GTGCCATTGCCTGCATGTGAAGATTTCCATTTGGAACCAGTGAAAAAAGAATATATCATCAGCACCAATCTCTCCTCTAGCATGACCTAAAAGCCAAGGCAGAAATATTAAGAGAGAAGATAATTATGCAAAGGAATGGCCACAAGGTTTTATATAACACATTATTTTCTAGTAAGCACAAAAGTTTTTGCTCAGGTGTGGTAAATTCCCTGGGAGTTTCTGTGCATTCCACAGAGAAAGATCCAAGGCATCCCCTAAGAGCATTGATTGCGTTATAATATTCAATTTTACATCTGTCTAGTGGAAAAAGTATATCTTGCTAACGCTTTATAGCACCATCCTTAATGGTTTGGGGGGACCTCCTTTTGGAATATAACACAACAGGATTCCACACTGATGAAACCCTGGTGTAGAACTGTTGATTTTAACAGCCGAGTCACACTTTAAAGAACCTCTGCAAGGGGACAGGGGCTGGGGATTTACCTCAGCGGCAAAAGCGCCTGCCTGGCATGCGCAAGGTCGTGAGTTCGGTTCCCGGTACCTGAGAAAAACAAAAAAACAAACAAACAAACAAACAAAGAACCTCTGCAAGGGGACAAAGCAGCCTGCCCTAGTTTTCCACAACACCAACAAAAACCCTGTGAGTACTGTTCTTCACAGAGACGTATTTGAATACACGGCCAAAGCTCCAAAATTGCTGTGCTGTATTTGAGGCCAACTGATAGGCTGACTTGTGTTTTTTTGTCTTTTTTTTTTTTTTTTTTTTTTTTTTTGAGACTGGGTCTCACTATGCAGTTCAGGCTGGCCTTGAGCTCACTGTGTAGCCCAGGCTGGTCTCAAATTCACAATGATCCTCCTGCCTCAGCCTCATGAGTGCTGGGATGACAGGCGTGCACCACCACACCTGCCTTTAAGCCGAGTTTTATAAACCATTGTGTAGTAGAAGTCCAGGCCGCGGTGCAGGCCCAGCCCACAGGCTGTTTGTCTGCTGCATGTCTTGTGTACATCTGTGAGTGGGTTTTGTGATGAAAGCCTTTTGGAAGGAATAAAGGGGCCAAAATACATGACAAAGAATATACTTTTGTTCTTTCAAAACATTCCAATCCTCGTAACTGCCCTGTAGGCAGAAAGCTTTATTCTGTAGAGGTTACAGGGACATAGTACTGAATGATTGAGAACAGGATCTGCCCTATGTATGTGGTCGCTCGTCTCCCCACCACACTAGGCTATGTCAGTAGGTTGCTTCTTTTTGTAGATTTCTTTCCAACACAGGTTTTCATTCTAAGAGACAAGGGAAAACTGGCTGATCGTGAGCTAATGCAATTCGAAAGATCTTCATTTATGATGTTGTGGTCCAGCCATCTCATTTTCCTTTCTCAAACAAAAATCACTTTCTGAACATGGTCCAGGAAAAAAAGAGCATCAAAATCCTTGCCTGGCTTCAGGTGTCATGGAAATGAAAGCGTGCTCATGCCACTGGCCTGAGACAGGTCAAGGCTATGCATTTAAGATGAGGTCTCTTTCTTTTCTTTAAGTGTGTCTGTAAGAAACAGCCCAAGAAGTGCCAACCTGAAACACACACATTTGATTTCCCATCACGATGTCTAAACACATGTATGTGGGTTTATCCTGAGCATTATGCACTGACTGTCAAGTAAAACATTGACCAGAGAGGTGGAAGATACATACTGATTTTTTAAACTTCAATAAGGAAATGAGAAGTAATGATGCCAGATTAAAATAATTTCCAGCAATGCATGTAGTCTATTTGTCTCGAGTAGAACAATGACAGGAAATTTGTGTAGCTATAATTTTAAATTAAGAATTACTCTAGAAATAACAGTAAAGCTGTCATATTGATGGTGAGATATTAGAAGACGGTATTATGAAATGTCAAATAAAGATACAAGATTTCATTTGTTTATTTTCTATCGTTCTTCTAAGGCCATTTAGAAGATCAGAGGCTTTGCCCGAATTTTCTGAAGGTGACCTTCAGAGAGTGAAAAAGCCCTCTGGGAATATGTACCCTGAAAGAGATACCATTTTGCACATCTATAATCCCAATATGCTGGGAGGCTGAGGCAGGATGATCACAAGTCTGAGTCCAAAACCAAATTGTTGCTCAAAATAAAAAACAGGAAAAAGGTTGAGGATGTAGCTCAGAGTGAAGGCCGTGGATTCAACTTCTGTAGTACACACACACACACACACACACACACACGCACACACACACGCATAAAATACCATGGTTTTAACAGGTAGTCTAGTAGCCAGCTGTTAGCTTTACCATAGACTTAACTGATATCTCAATGACATTGTCTGTGTGCTTGCAACCCCACCCCAAGGAAATGATAACGGATTTGGGTACAGAGAGGAGACCTGAAAAAAATTCAGCCAATTCTGGCTGAATCTACGACCTCTGTGAATCTGTGATCTATTAATCTCATGTGGGAAATGTAGGACTGGTAGAGACCTTGAAGCATCACCAGTCTTTCAAGTGATCAGAAGGAACTGTCAGTCTACTGATACTTTACATCGATGGCCTTTTCTGATTTTCTAAGCAGAGTTACGGAAACAGCATCACATTTAACTCCAGCCTTCTGGCAAGATAGGAAAGATGATTATTATTGTTGTGCAGATGAGAAAACTGAACTGTTCAGACTAGCCATGGGCTTGCCCCAGGAAAGTGGCAGAGAAGAACTAGTCATCCAAGTCTTACCATTTTTCTCTTCCTATGAAGTAGAGAAAACCAAGAACATGATTCCAAAATGGGTTTTAGTTACTTCTCTGTCACTGTCTAGCTGTGCAGACTGAGTAGATCACAATGTTTTTTGCACCTCAGTTTTCTCATATGCAAAATGGGTACAGTTTTTGCTTTCTCTGCCCTACATAGCTGTGAGGAAAATGAAAGATGAATAGTCCTTACCTTTTCTGTCCATGCTACAAAAGGGATAACGGACAATCCTTACTACCAGAATGGTAAGGAAATTGAGAGCAGGTAATATCAGGGATGGGAGTGAGGTGAAGCAGAAACTTACAACCCTGATTTATGTTTATTTAGAGATGATATTCATGTGAAATCAGTTAGCTTCTTTGCTATTCAGTTGCCTCAGAAACAGCCACACTTTTTTTTTTTTAAGAAAAGGTCTCACTGAGCCTGCGCTGATCTCAAATTCACCAAGCAACCGTAGTTAGCATCAAATTCAGCATCCTCCTGCATCAGCATCCCGAGTGCTAGAATTACAGGCTTGTTACACTCAGCCGTATTTTAGTTGTACCAGAATGTTTTAAATATTTTTTTTTAGCATGTGAGGTTTCTATTCTAGTTCTTTTTTTTTCTTTCTGTGCACCATGCTCAGAGAGGCTTTGCTGTATTCCCTAAAGGTGAATGAGTGGAACATTTACATGCTGTAAAAAAAAAGCTAGGGATTGCCAAAGCTGTGCAGTGCACTGGCAGTCCCAGTGTATTTTGTTTTCTTTTTTTAACATTGCTAGGAGCCTATAGAGGCTTAATGGGATTGAAATCACCAGGCAAAGCATAATGAAAAATAGGAGTCAAATTATTTTAAGAACTACTAAGACATTGTCCCTGGCCTACTCTGAAGAGCTAAGACTTATTACTTGGTGTGACACCTGACCGGGACAGCCTTCTGAAACGCTCTCCCTCACCCCACCCCCAGGATCATTAGTGTTGCCGAGCTCCAGCCATGATGGCAAATGTCAGCCACTCGAGAATCTGCTGCTTAATTAGATTTGGAGAAGAGAAGCAACAGGCAAATTCTCAAGTTAAAAATGCCAGGCAGTGTCTAAGACAGGAAAGCCAAGGGCAGAAGAGGCATGCCATCACTGGCACACCTGAACTGAGATGTGGCAATTTACAACCGAATAATCTAGTGCCAGAAGGACCAAGGAAAAGCTACCTTTCTGGACTTCAAGAGGGTTCTGGAGTTTTCTACCAGGAGCATTCCCTTCCCTCAAGGTGCTTCCCTAACACTTGAACATAGTGAAAGCCTTTCTTTGTACCTAAGCAAAAAGCATTCCTCTTCGAATCTCCTTAAAACACACACATGTGCACACACACACCTCATTGTGGTGCATCTTCACAACATGCGTCTATGTGTACTGTCTTGGTGAGGATATGGGGCAGGCATCAAACCATTTCAAACCAGGTGACAGAAGCTCAGGAATTGTAGGCAATGTGCCCCACTTCTCAGAAGGGATGGAAAATCACACCTTAAACCTAAGTCTCTTCAGAGCAAACATACTATTCCCTCTTGTTCAGGAATCCAGCTTCTGCTACATCAGTATGAAGCCTTTTTTTGTTTGTTTGTTTGTTTTTGTGGTACCGGGGATTGAACTCATGACCTCAAGCTTGCTAGGCAGGCGCTGTGCCACTGAGCTATATCTCCAGCTGAAGCCTTTTTTGTATTCAAGGCCTGAAGTATGCAAAACAAATTACCTAGGTACCTTGAAAGAAAAATACATAGAAATGGCTCCTGATTTCACAGAGATAAAGTTTTTATGAAAAAATTAGAAACATTCAATAAAAGGCATATTTGAATATCAAGGGATTCTCCAACGTGTGCTGGGGGGGTGGGGGGAGTACCAATCCAGGAAGATGCTACCGGGCTGCAGGATGCCCAGAATTAATTTTCTGAAGGAAGGAGGTGTGCAGCAAAAAGTTTTAGGGTTCTCATCTCAGAGCTTTCACTTAGAGCATCTGTTGAAATCACAGCAGATGGAACACGTTTTATCTTTAGTTTCTCAGAGAAACCTGGCACCTCGGTACTGTGGAGGGAAAATAAAGGCTCATTTTTATACCATCATTTGTAATATAAAGACATAAACATTACTTGCTCCTGGGGGAGTTATTTCATTCTTTTTCCTCCCTAGTGAGTTTTATAATTAAGCCTTACTGAAATAAAAACTAAAGACTGGATTTAAATGTTGTATTTGCTGAAGAATGCACTGAGATGCTTTTTTCTTTTTTGTTTTTGCAGTCTCGATGGACACCTTATCCCCTGCTGCTGGTTTTGTTTCAAAACCAAGAATCTGACTGTGCTGACTTTATCAGCCTGAAATTTCTGCCTATGCTTTGATGAAAGAAACAATGGCAGTTCTGCCGTCTTTCACCCCTCTGTGAAAATCTGACTGTTAATGCATTTGCTCATCTCTCACCCTCTGTAAAGATGTCTGAGCCTGACTCGGCATCCGGATTTGCAGGAAGTGTGGAGAACGGCACTTTCCTTGAGCTGTATCCCACGTCGCTGTCCACATCGGTGGACCCCTCCTCTGGCCATCTGTCCAATGTCTACATCTACGTGTCCATATTCCTCAGCCTCTTGGCCTTTCTGCTTCTGCTGCTAATCATCGCCCTCCAGAGGCTCAAAAATATCATCTCCTCCAGTTCCTCCTACCCAGAGTATCCAAGTGATGCCGGAAGTTCCTTCACCAACTTAGAAGTCTGTAGTATTTCCTCTCAAAGGTCCACTTTTTCCAACCTGTCATCCTGAAGAAAGAAAAAGGAAAAAATCTTAATTAAAGCAGCAGCAGCTTAGGTTTTCCCTTATGGGGAGTGCTGCCTCATGGAAGACATGACCCTTTTGGTTTCTACCTGTTTTCGTTCTTCATCTTGGATTCCTTTGCTGTGCCTGCTGCTTTTCATTTGCGAATGGAGAAATCGATGCCCACAGAATGAGCACTGGCTTTGAGGTTCGGAATTCCACACTCACCACTTGACAGATCTGGAGCTGGATTCTTCCAGGTGGAGCAGCATTTGTTGAATGCTATGAACTCAACTAGGAAAACCTCACAGTGGATGCTGGATATAGACTCTTTATTTCGCTGAGGCCAACTGAGCCAGCAGACACTGGGAGAATTAAGTCAGAGCTATGCAGGAGATATTTTCTTATTTAAGAGAGAAAGCAGAGACATCAAATTTTAAAAAGAAAGTCAGTTTAAATCGAATGCATAATATTTCTAAATCTGGAAGTAAAAATATGCTAAATTTTTTTTTTCATTTCACTTTCACAAATGAAAGTCACATTTATTCATGGATATAAGTCATTTGGAAAAATTTTGGAAGCATTTATAACTTTTAATAGCAAGACGTACATGTGTCATTATGCAGTTTATAATGTATTTCTGCCTCTTGAGGTTTTACTTCTACTTGCATTGTAGCTGTAATGGTCCTCAGTTGTGGAATTCTTGGTGATCATTGCTGTTCTTATTGCTAGGGGAAGCACCAGAGAGACACCAAGAAGTTTTTATTTTAGATCTGTAATTTCCATTTCGAGAATTAACAGTAGGGGAAATATTCATCCTGTTGTGTTTTATACAGTAATGAGTCCAAGTAGTTGTGTATGTTCCTTTATTCATTTCATAGTTCTTATAATTTCAGTGCACAATCATAGTAAGGTCCCGAGATGTCAAAGCTTAATATTCACTCACATTAGGTTGCAAAATTTAGAGAGTGCATTGTACCATACCTGCTATTACGTACTCTGTGAATGTTACGTGTCTCTGACAAGTAGTTGTTTCATGTTAATACAATACTCTGCATTTGGACTCAAAGATGGGAGATTATATTAAAATTGTAGTGACTCATTGCTGCTGAAACCCCTAGTAATCCTGAGAGCTGGTACTGCGATGGGTCAGGTACACTTGAGCTTGGAGAGGGGAGGGGTGTCATGAAATTAAATATGCACACAGACACAGGCAAGGGATGTGAAGGAGATCAAGCTGCCACTAAATATAAAACAAGCAAACTGCAGCTTCTTAAGAATAAGAATTTTAATTTAATTTTAAGAATAAGTGCCCCACAGCATAAAATCTTATTGTGCAACTGTTGTGCCAACATACCACGTCTTCCCATGCCTACCAAATCATTCCTTGCTCAAAATACTTAACAAACTTAAATAGCAGAGCATCAGCACTTCTTTTGGTTGTAGAACCAGTGCTTTGCAGTGATCAGAATGGGAGAAACAATCTGCCATTTTGCAGCCTGCCTTTGTCATTCTAGAAAGCTATGTCATTCCAGTGAGCACTGGAAATGAGAATCAGAAGTCTTTTTTTAACCCAAATGCCTCACTTAAATAGTTCGCATTTAACTCTTTGTATATCAAAAAATCTCCAGACTTCATAAGACCAGCACAAACTCGCTGCCCTAAAATGTATAATCAGTGAGAAATTTATCACTGCTGCCATTTAAGGCATAACAGTGGGCTGGTCGCTATTAGGTAGCACAAAACTTCGACTAGAGAGACTGCTATTTCCGATCATTATTAGCGTTCTCTAAGTACACATATGTATGTACATGTATACATGTATGTACCTACATTTGATGTGTTTGTTCACATGTTCCAGTTAAAAGTTGTGTGAAAGCTACACAGGATTAGAGACATCTATAGTACCGCTTTTGCTCTTTAATTATTCTTCTGTTATGTTGGCTCTTGAGGAAGAAAATGCATGAGTAAAGTGATCTTTAAACAACAAAGGGACAAATGCACTACAATCTGGTTAAGATTTATCCTAGGGGGGAATTTTAAATCCTTTTCCTTTTGGAAGAAATACAAAGACTTCTGATAGAAAAACTACTGAAATCAAATCTGATCAAGTCTACAAGCACTCCTCACCGCCCCTGCCGCAAAGATTCTTGCTCTTGACATTAAATGGGAATAATTAGGAGCAACATCCGAAGATGGAAAATAGCATTTGTCATTAGGAGCTTGTAGTAACAGACTGTACAACTTGAGATGAATTTGTGCTGTGTAAAGGTCAAAAAGGCTGGAAGATGGGTTTATAAATAAAGAAGTGATGTCCACTGAAGCCTGGTTTTTTCTCTGATCATTTTAGCAAAGTGATCCACAGTTTTCTCTCAGAAAGGTTTTCCTAGGAGTTTTAAAAATATCCATGTCTATATAGTAAATATATCTATACAGGATCTATAGCTATGTGAAATTTCTATATATCTGTATACCTATACAATTTATCATCTCTTTCTGTAACCCACCTCACCATCTCTTATATATGTGGATATGTGTCCTTCTACTTTAAAGCCGTGTCTAAACATCTGTCCCTTTATAAAAGACATTTCCTATTAATACTACTGTTATGGCAACAGAACTCTGTAACCCGTCATCACTTCTGAATATCTAGAGACCTCATTAAACCACCCCACATGTGGCTTTATTTTAGAGTGGACCCATTGTGAGTTAGGGTGTTTGGCACCCTGAATACTATAAGAAGATGTTATTATGAACAGTCACTTATTAAATAAATGGATACATGCTTTGGCACTGAATATAGTAGACATAGTTCCTGCCCTCATTAAATTTATAATTCAGTGAAGGTGAAACTCAGAAAACTACATGTAATAACAATTGCAAATAGTGCTATCGAGAGACTATGATTGTGAAATGACAGACCACAAAGGTAGTTCACTTAAGATGTGGTGGTCAGGAGAACATCCAGAGGGTATGGAGAAGAGTGATCTCTGCAAAGAGAAGCGTATATACCGAGGTCTTACAGCAGGAAGGGCCTTGGCTCAAGCAAGCAGAAGAGTCCCTGGGTTGAAATGCAGGTCACGTGGTTGGCAGTTTGAGCAGGCCCAAGTTATACAGGGCTCTTGTGGTTGTACAGAAGCTTGTATTTTATTCTTAGTACAGTGAGGAGTCCATGGAAGTTGAGCAGGGAAGTTCTATAATTGAATTCACCTTTAAGAAAGATTAGTCTAGTTGTTTTCTGAAAAGTAGACAAGAGATGGACAAAAAGTCCTTGCCGGATCTGCCCTGGGTGGGAAATGAGAGCGGGTGCAGAGTGTGCCGCCTGCTGCAAATATCTGTTCATCTTCTAGCCATGGAAACGATCTCAGCTAAGAAAGAGTTTAACCACACAACTTCCTGTCTCTCGCCATTCCCTCCCCCTCCCTCTCCCTCTCTGTCTCTCTTTCTCTCTCTCTGTCATATGTATTTTTCTGATTCCCTCTCAACCTCTCCTAACTTGAACCCATTTGGCCCTTATTGAAATTCTTTCCATCATCAGTAGTCCCAGTAACGCTTACTCCAGTATTCTTAACATAATGTGTGACTAATGTTCCCATCAAACTCTAATACAGCAATAAAATGGAAGCATCTAAAATTTTGCTCTTTTAAAATTCCATTCCTCAAAATGCTATCATTCTTTGCGCACTATGCGGGCCATCCCTAAGATTCCAGACTCTTGTAGCTAGTTGATAGTTTTGGATAGCTTCTCCTCAGTTACCTGTCTGCTCCATTTAACTAACACCACCTATCATAGAACATAAGACTTGGATTCACAAAGACTTTTATTCAAATCCTCAAGCCCTAAATGCTACTTCTGTGACCTTTAGCCACCTCTCTGAGGCAGGTTTTGGTAACATGCTGGGACAAACAACTAACAAATTATGTGTAAACTAACACCATGTTGCTTCATACATGGCACATAATATTATATATGCAAATGCCAATTGAATATGATATAGAGTTGTTGGCTTCAGAAGTTTTAAAATTTCCTATTTTTGCCTACCACCTACTTTCTCTGCCTTCCTGCAGCTAATTCCTCTTCCATTCTTCCTTTTGCCAAAAACCTAACCTAATTTTCTGTGCTCCAGGCCCTTACTCTTCTGCTGTCTCCTCCTTGCTTTTGCCTACCTCTTCCGAAAGTGTCCCCACAGACCTATGGGCCCATTATGAGAACTCCTGCAGCTTCTTCCCCCAGAAGCTCCATCTGTCCATGCCCACCCCCTTCCGATGGGCCACTGGTGCTGGGGACAGTTATATGTCAAAATGCAATAAACAGCGTTGGTGAAACAGATCAAGAAAAAGGAAACGTGGTGAGAACTCTGTGGATCAGGAAGTTTAACAAATGTGTTGAAGGGACCTGGGGTTACAGTCAAAGTTAAACTGTTACAAGGAAGATCAGGTTTGCATGAGGTGGTGCCTTCAAGACCTAAGCCTTCTACTTTGAAAGCCTAAGAATTTACCGTTTGTGTGAAATAATTCCTATCGATACTATTTTTTATTGCAATAGAGCCTGCTGACCTCTGTAGTCACTTCTAAGTACCCAGAGACCTCATCAACCCAGTGCAAGCCTAGCCTTTCTTGATTTCTGCACTGTCATTCCAATTACAAAGTTGGTTCAGTTAGCCAGCACCCATGTTAGCAGGTTCAGTTCACCTACCAACATATCACTGATTTTCAAGTCACCCTTATTTTCTTAGGAATATTTAGACTAGTCATCAGAATGCTTATTTGTAGCATTCAAGAATATATAATTCTTTTAAAATTTTTGCATATTGCTACTTATGGATTACCAAATTTTAACAAAAAGAAGCTTATGGTTTATTTATAATAAAATCCATTCAACTCCAAAACTATAGCAACTCAGCTTTGATGATTCAGAAGCTAATTCAAGATCTCTTGGTGTTCCTCCATATTATTATAAACATCACTTTGCTGTGTATGTGTAGATGGCAGTCCATAGAGAATTCTGGTTAAGAATATGCCAGATTATTATACTAGCAGTTGTAATAATATTAAAGTATCTAAACATATTACTAGCTGCACAAGTAGTCAAGCAGGAATAATAGTAATGATAAGTAATACTAATTATTAGTATTTAGGTGGTTCATTCCATAATTTAATTACTCATATAAGCACTTTATGTATTCATCATAATACTCATGGGGTTGTTACCATTATTATTCTTGTTTTACAAATTAGGAAACTGAAGAAATTCACAAAACTAGTAAGTTGTAGAATCAAAGCTCCAACACAAAAATCAAGCTCCATGTTTTGCAGCTTAACTAGCAGATTTCATACCTTTCCTTCCCCTCATTCATGGTCATTTCTAATAGATATGGTTGAGGAATAAATACATAACCAAGCATTACACTTTGTAATAGATCCCAGAGCAGTATAAATATACACTTGCAAAAATGGAGATAAATACTTTAGGCTATTGCTAAATGTGGATGCGGGTCCTACACAACCTCTTTATTCACTGACGTATCAGAGGCCAAAACTATACTATATTGAAAGGACCCTGCTTGTGAAATGTGGGCACAAAAGCATCTCAGTTCTATGGGCAGCCCAAGAGACATGGGGACACATACACACAACATGTATGCGGGAGTCCCTTTTGGAGACACAGCCACTCCTGATGGAATGATAGGTGGTTCTTCATTTAGCAAATATTTACTGAGCACCTAATATTTACTGAGCACCTAATATTTCCTGAGTCATTGTTCTTTGCTCAACAGAGAGCAAAACCAACAAATACCTTTCATATAGTGGAGAAGATACAATAACAATGTAAGGAAAGTATATAAAGTGTTGGGTAATTATAGGTGCAAAAGTAGGAGAAAAACTAAAGCTAAGAAAGATAGAAAAAGCTGAATTTAATTGGAAGCTTAGACAGCTTAGACAAAAGGAGACTATTCTGAGAGGATGTTATTTGAGTTGCATTATTTCCCACATCTAAAAGTACAATCCAAAGCATGACCTTCTAGAAAATTCTAACATGAAAATGATTGTTGGATCTCCACTATTTCAGTCCCTTGGAGTGTGCCGTTTTAAAACCACAAATGAAAACACAGACTCCACGGTTACCTGGGGAAAAAAGGGAAAAAGAAAAAAATAGTCCCTCTTACATTGAACTGGCCTCTCATTTCTCTCTGTCTTCCACCCACGGATGTGGCCTACATGGCCAATTGCAATTTCAACAGCTTTGTTTTTTTTTACCTAATTGAAATGAATGCACTTTGGTGTCCTGCCAACCCAGCCTCAGTGAAATGGCTAGAAGAAGGAATACACTGCTATTAGCACTTGCTAGCTGTAAAATTAGCTGTCCTAGAAGGAAGTACAAGGCACAGCAGACACACAGAGGAGGAAATCTGCTTCCTACTTGAAGAAGCTTGAGTCAGGTCACTTGGATGATGCTGAAGAAGGGCTTCTGGAAGAACAGCATATCCAAAGGTATGAGAAATATCCAAAGGTCTCGCATATCCAAAATTATGCATGAAGGATTGCTGGGCATTCCATATTGCAGAAGCAGAAGGCTGATCAGTAGATCAACAAAGAGCCATCTTCAAAATACTCCCACCTTCCATGCTACAGCATCCTAATTCCCAGGGTCCTATTGTCTGAACAGTACCTCAAGGACCGTAGCTAGATATCTTAGGCAGCACATTGACAGGGTGGGGTCTGAAATCCAAGGTCAAAGAGAGGAGTCCCCGTATAAGGAGGCTATTCCAGCTCTTCACCTCACCCACGTACCTTCATCTCAGAGGAACGGAGGACGAATTTCCTCCTAATTACCCCAGGAAAACAATAAGCCTATTAGGTCTCTTCCAGGGAATGTAGGGAAGAGAGTTGCCAGATTTCAACTGGCCGAGATCTCTGCCACCAGACCTTGTTTGCTGCATTATATTTGGCTGTTATCTTGCAGCTGGGATAATTGCTGAGCCCTCATAAATAGAAGAATGCCATGACCATGTGTTTCACAAATGTATTTGAAAGTAGAAGTAATTGTGTGTGTGTGTGTGTGTGTGTGTGTGTGTGTGTGTGCTTTGAAAACTTTCAAGTCACCTTTTTTCCAGTTTTTGACACATAGGATGGCCTAGTAATGTTTTTAGAATGAATGAGGGAGTAAAAGATAGTCCAACTGTGCAGGAACAAATGCCCTCTCCTCCAAGAAGGAGGATAGCAGATAAACTCAGATTTGTGAGGAAAACTGACTCAGAATGATGTCACCAGAATCACTCAAAAACTGGTGGAAATGATGTGAATCAGACACCCTCTG